TGCTAGTGACCACAAAAGGTAGGTGTAAAGCAACAGCCATTCATGCAGTTAATGACCTGAGTACTTGAAGTCCTGTGCAAAAGCGCATGATCGCACGGGCTCGTCCGGTGCATTCCAGCCTGGATTTTTTAGCCTTAAATGCACTGATTTCATTGATTGATGAATTCGTGGATTGATACGTTGTAGATCGAGTTTGTTGGTTTCCCGCAGTCCGCTCTGAATGGTACCGAGGTTGAAATTCGACTTCGCTGTGCCGACGATTCGGATTTAACGTTTCAAGTGCAATTCGTCATTCGAAGTTCACCGTGCGATAAAGAGTTCTTCGATGTGGGACGGCATTCACGAGTGAAAGACCTCTTGGTTGGTATTTTTATTCAAGGAAATTGTTGTGTTTATTTTGCAATTACGTATAAATGGGGACACTTCACTGAGGTAGTTAAATCTCATATTATTTGAAATTATGCAGAGAATATTTGGCCGTTCTGGTTAATGACCAGAAATTGCCTTAATTTTGTGTTATATTTCACATGTATATTGTTTCTGCTACAACCGTTGTACCGACGGAATCCATTTATAACACAAAAGTTAGGAGCTCACAACTTAATAACAGACAGGTTACCAAGTCACTGTACATACAAGCCTGCTTATTTGGGAGATCTAAATGACACTTCCAGTGTTTTCATTAATTATCAAAATTCGATTTTGTTCCTTGTCTTCATGGTGGACCAGCAGCGCCAAACAAACTGCATATGTTAACACATAGAAGATTTCAGGCCCCCGTCTTCTTCCAGTCTTTTCGCCAGGGATATCCATTGTTTGTATTTTTAAAATTTCTATAAAACTTTAATAAATCGAAACGGTTTAGTTTTTGCCTACATTTATTTTATAATATTAAACTTGGTTATTAATAGTAATAAGTTTTGCTCGCTTTACCGACAACCGGTGCATGTGAAGCACAGGTGAGTAGTGCTTGCGAGAAAGTAAGCGGCCACTCGGATGGTCGCCGAAAAGATGGCTTAGAAACACCGGACAGAGAGTGGATACTAGCTGGAGTTATGCAATCCTGGAACGAAGAACGCGGTACAGTTACTCCTCTTGTACGGAAGTATCTCAGTAACATCATTAGCATGAAATCCCCGCATCGATACCTGCCCGGATGGTCTCGGTATTTTTGGTATTAATGGTTTTATTCATACAATTTTTTTAGATCTTTTTAGATTTTTTTTAGATTACAAGTTTAAATTATTTTGCGATATTTCTTTTTTTTTTTTCAGCCGTACCAAGTATAATCGTTTTTCATTTAGTCAATTTGCAAGATTTTCAATGAATTGTTGAATTCCATGTCTGATAACCCCGGTCGTTGCTCGGTTTATGCCTTCTTGCCCCCGCCCCCTTCCTCTCTTGTTGTATTTTGCTATATGTTATATGTATTATCGCTGCTTAATCTATCAGAAATGATTTAAATTTTGACTGATTTTGCAGAATTTCTATTTCGAGCATGAATGGGAAATCCCCCCGGGATATAACTATGATAAAATCCTCTTCTACAAATCCGACTCGCACCAGTTCAATTGTCGCCAATCGCATGGTGTTATGCTTGTTGAGGAAAACGGGCCACGTAGGCCGCTTCAGGTACACGAGGTCTCTCAGGTAAGATCTGTTTTGGAGAGTTATGATGTTTGGTTAGTTCATTGTATGACACTCACTTAACTGCTGAATTTTACTCATTCACTTAATTTTCCATAAGATGGGAGGGTCAGTTTTTCACTTTATTGATAGTTTTCTCAGTGGTTGCTTGAAATTTTACCACGGAGAGTTATGTGGGGAGGACTTGCCATAATTTTAAGCATGTTTTCTCACCGCAAAGCCTCTCAGTAGCAAATGTTCCGGGTTTTTTT